TACACATTAATATTGTTCCTCCATTTTATTTATATGTTTTTATTTTATTCAGATATTTTTGTCTCTTTCTTTATATATTTATTCTTTTGTAGTAATTATTTTAAATTAAATGTGCTAATGTAAGGACAATATATATATTCTTTTTCAAAGCGTTCTTCGATTTGTTTTAATGTAACAAAATAAGTCTAATTAATACATATTTAAAGATGCATTAATTTCGTTAAATAACAATTAGTTATTATAAGAAAATAATATAGGATCAATACGATAATAAACCCTATCGATTCCAAAAGAACTATCAAAATCAATTCATAATTGACATACATATTAATTACGCACATATACATAAATGTAAATGAATTCAAAAGTAACTCCGCTTTGAAGTCACTTATAAAAATTATATTTTATTAAAAGAAATGTTTCAGCGATGCTGATATATATCTAGTATACCTAATTGTTTGAACTAAAACATAATGTAATGTTTTAGACTCCATCAAGGTACATTGGTACAGTTCGTAAAATTATGCTTTATAAATTAAGTAAATTATTTTTTTCCCAACGCAGTCCGTCTCTCTTCAAAGTGAACTTATATTTCAATGACTCTTATTGTCTTATATTTCTTGCCTCTCTCTTGTCAAAAATAACCTTGATTGCTCAAAATTTTACTTGCCAAGCGTAACGGTCGTGTATCATATTATTTATCGTACATTAGCTATTGTGTCTGCTTTTCAACACTGTTGTGGGTGCGACGGGGTCTCTAATTGGCCGAAATGAAACCTATTATCCGCATGATTTGTGATGATTGACAGCTGCCAATCAATATCGCGTGAGTTTCCCGCCAGGTGGCGCGTGCAGGGTGTAGGATGGGTTTCAATTTTTGTGTTTACGCTGTTTAGTTTTTAGTGAAGTGACGAATCAACTCATTTGATGTTTATTGCTTTATAGTTATTTTTATTCGAATAAATTTATCATAATTATAAATTTATTTATTTCTATATTTGGTACTTAGACAATTAATAAATACTTGCTGACGTTATAATATCCTATTATTAATTACAAATTTGAACATAAATCATCAAATTCACAATCAATATAACTTGGTCCAATATTGAAAATACCTATTATTTATTTATTTTAAGAAACAAGTTTATAAACATAGACCAATAGATAAATACCTTATAGTTTAATATACATATTTAAAAATATATAAAAATTATATAATATTGTTTACATTTTGGGTCGGTGATATTATGCCTAACTTTTTTAAGTGCTGCCATGTATTCCATAAGCAACGTACATTAGGTTACAATCTAAGAGAACTAGAGTTTGTTTTAAAAAAATATTCTCATTTTGGTTATTTTTCTGTTCTCTCGAATTTGATGAATTTAGAAATCTTCTGTTTGTTAGCGAACCATAGCGTCATTGATTTATTCAGTTTTTGACCACCCATCCATGATCTGTAAGAATTTTAAAATAACTTATAAAAACAAAATCATATTTAGTTATATATGACAATAATATGAAGTTTAACGATAGCTACCCTTTGCTACAAAATTTCCAAATGATACTAAAACGTAACATTATAAGAACCGAATTTTATGGAACAATAAATCAAGCATCAAAAAACAAAGGATTTCAAAATGTACCGAAACGCTCGGAGCCATAACATAAATCACAGTCAAAAATAATCAGTATAGAACACAATTATATCATCTAAAGTTGTTATAAATCTCTATATAATGCCCCAAAAGTTTCATTTGTGCTACTTCAGGTGGTCGTTACGTTGTAGTTGGCTTGAGGGCGAATGCAATCTTCATTAGATGGCTCATTGTTCTACGAACAAAAACTTTGTAATGGCCTCTTAGCTATTTTATATTTTCAAGTTGCACGAACGTTGGCATGTTTATAATCAAAGAATATCAGCAGAAAGGAGTCAGCATTAGTGAACATAACAACATCTAATGCAATCTAAAGAATACAAAATATTTTTATATTTTGTAAAGTTAAAATTGAAAATTTATTAAATCACTCATATTTAGTTATATAAGTATTATTTATTTAATTAAATTAATAAATTCCATTCACATACCTACGTACCTTTTTTTTATACAACTTAGAATGGCAAACAAGCTGACGGCCCACCTGATGGAAAGTGGTAACCGTCGCCTATAGACATGAACAGTACCATGGACATAGCAGAATACGAGTATACTGTTTCGCTCACGATACCCTCCCATGCGTTGCCATTCCTGAGGACTCAGATGTTATTCCTCTGTACCCAGTTAATTCACGTCATATCCCACCCTTCAAACCGAAACACAGCGATGCAAACAACTGCTTCACGGTAGAAACACGAATGGGACAGAGGTACCAAGCAAACGACTTTTATACAAAGTCTCTCTCTGGTACAAATACCTAGTAAGTACCTAAGAAGGTGTAATATAATTTCCCATACACTTTATTTTTAGAAATTTATTAAACTACTTATACATATAGGAATCTTATTGCTATAATGTCATAATTAGTGACTGTGAAATAATATAATATTATTTTGTTATTTTCTTTGTTACTAGCTTTTGCCCGTGACTTCATCCGCGTACCGGGATATAAAGTAGCATATATCTTTCTCCATTTCATATAGGATGTGTATGACAAATTTCATATAAGTTGCCAAATATACTTACAATCACATTTATAATATAAATAATAATTTCACAGAGTATTTGTTAAATAGATATTCTAAGGTTTATATTTAGTTATTACGTAATATTACTGCTTCTTAACAATAGTATTTTCTATTATTTACTACTGTATATCTTTGCTAACCTAAATTTAATTTTATATCATACAAGATTACTTTCTTTTCAAATTATTTCACAATATATTATTGTCGGTACATTCAAAAATTTCTATTAATAAATTTTAATAAAATAATTTATTGTAAGTATAAAACATAGTTGATGATTTTACAATTTCTAATAGATAATTGAAAGGTCGAGCTACCGTTGGTAACTATGAATTAACGAATCGGTAACTGATTGAATACAACTGCTTGAATTAACTATAAATCAATAAAATGTAATAAATCAAGCAAAGCATCAATCAATACGTCGCTGCATCTCTCCGACAGTGAAAATCACTTGAAATATTACTGCTGCGGCTCAAAATACCACTTTAATCTCCAGCGATTTATTTTAATTGGGGTAAAAGGAAAATATAAAGTCGAGGCGATTATTCGATTGGATAAATTCGAAATAGTCATGGGAATTCGCCGATTTGAACGATTAGAGCACAATCAGTATGAATTTGTTGCAATTTACATTGACTGCGAAATTGGTTAAACAAAAGTTAAACTTCAATCATCAATCAGTAACCGACTCAATTTAGATTCTTCCCAAACGTTTCTGTCTTTTGTTTTTTCGAAAGTGTAATCGGCTCTAGCAGAGTTTTAGGAAATTGCTGCAACATCCTTTGAATTAGAAGTAGGTAGGTAGTTAAATAAGTTTAAAATATTGAAGGATAAAATAATAAAAGAAAAAAATGGTCTGACTATATTTGAAAATACTTTTTTTATGGCAGCCTTTATACGTAGATCTTCAGACTCGGAATCTCATCATGGGATGAGACTCTGGTCAACAATCTATCAGTCTTTATGAATAGATATTATGGAATAAATTCAAATTTGATAGCTAAGTATTATTTCAAAACCTTCAATCACCGCATTCTTATTCTATTAACAGATGACATGAATTTCAGAAATTGATTAAAAGTCACAAATTTTGAATTAAAAAAGACGGATGTAAGTGTAAAAGGACATACGAACTAAGAAAGTTAAATAAATGCCTGTAAAAGAACCAGTAGCGACATCGCGTTGTGACAAGTGACATTTTGAAGTTCGAAAATTGGTAGCTAGATGGCGCCACTATTCTTAATTGTAAGTATTAAAATTAATAATTCATAAATTACGTGTTTGACGATAAATAACAATTTACAACAAATTATTTATCATAATTTTTTTTTTAGATATTTATAATTTTATCAATATAATATAGGAAATTTTAATAAATGAATTAATTTTAAACTTTTTACACTTTTTATTTTTCCACAAACCATCATTGGTACTAATTTGGTATTTTCTCCTTATATAATTTTTTTTTTTTGCTTTATTCTGTCTAATTTAAACGGAATAAATATTAGACTAAAAAACTATTATATTACCTGTTTAAATATTTTTTTTTACCTATATTGCTAATTATAAAAATAATGAGTAGGTAGACATATTACTTCAACGATATTTTTCAACAGATACACAAACTGCTGGGTATCTCAATACCTAAATCTAAACTAGGCTAATAGCGTTTATCTCTATAACCATCTTTTCACAACCCAGAAACAAGTTTGCGCCGTCTACAAAATTACTAGCATCAAAGCCCATAATTATAATTAATATCGTACGCTACATTGGTATGATTGTTAGCATTGCATGAACTATGATTGTGGTGCCATATATGGTCAAATCTCCCTCTCTAATGGTCGAATGGACACGCCAACATAACTGTTAAGTAGTGTAGCGTGCGATATTCCATTTAATTGGTAAAGCTATGTTACAGAATCAATGTAATCCAATTTTGATATGAATTTCAATTTAGCTGATGCTCATAGCAGACGAATTAAGGCAACTAACTGTACTTGTTATAGGTAATTTTGTGAATAGCGTTACAAGCACTATATACATACATATTTATGGATTTAATGTTTTAAATTCATTTGGAATTAAAAAAAAATTGTTAATATTGATATTAAATGATACACAACATTCTAGTAGTAGTAGTATTTTATAATATATTTTTAATCAAATCTGTTCTATTAAATAATATTCTTTGACAAGTACTTAATTTGAAATAATATGTGAAGAAATAAGAGTTGTTGAAATACTTTCATTAAATTTTATCTTTAGTAGAAATAAAATTATCATGAGGTTATGTTCAAATATTATTTATTATTGGGAAATAAAACAAGTTTTGATACTCATGCTTGTAATTTGCAATATAGTCTGTCTATAAGTAGCCTCGTTGACTTATCAGCTAATACCGACTTATAATAATATTTACAAATATACATAATAGAATTAGAAGTATCTATATAAACTGTGCTATTAAAATTTGAATAAGTACATTCACATTGATTTGAACATGATCTGAATGTTGTCATAGCCAAACAATTTGGATCGAATTCACTTAAAACAAAGGTAATACTTTTCGGTAACTTTAGTTAACCATTACTTAGGCCTAATTAAAAAAAAAAAAACTATCACAATAAATAAATCTCTAAGACAATATAACAATAACTTTAAAAATAATAATTTCAGTCTTTGTAATATGAAATGAAATATCTTACTAATTTAATGTCAGAATCTAAAAAAAAAACAGTGCAAAAACAGCAAAACACAAAGTACTTGAGGAAGAACGTTAGATTATGATATAAACTAATGCTTTATGACAAAAATGAAAGTTATAAAAAAAGAAACGTCTAATCTAAATCAGTCGATGAGATACTTCTTTGGCAAATTATAAATACTATTATATTAAAAGAATGACTAAAATAAATCAACCAATTTATTAGACTGGATATAATTAGGTCTGTCAGTATCATAAGGCTCAATTATGAATAATATATATGCTGTATTCACATGTTAATAAATTGGCTAAGCCTATTTTAGCTAAAACTAGATTTTCTAGACCGTATTACAATAAATAAAATTATCGTTTCATAATGTCTTCTATGGAAAACCCTAAACTCCTTTTAGGTACTTCTACTGGTGAATGATGAGGACTTATTAAAGGTTGGTGCTGTTGTGAAGATGGTACTGGTGGCGGAGAAGGTTTATGTGAAAGATCTAATAGAGAGTTTTCTGAGACATGACTCGTCGAGGAAACTTCTTGGCATCCTTCAAGATGGTCTAAATGATGCTTGCTTACATCACTGTGTGTTAACAAATGTGTCTTTAAGTTAGATCTTTGGTTAAAACTCTTGTTACAGACGGGACACTTATGTGGCGATTCTTCCATATGTAGAATTTTGTGCACTGCTAATGTCCGTGACTGACAGAATCCTTTGCCGCATTCAGTACATTTGAAAGGTTTCTCTTTTGAGTGGATATACCTGGAAATATAGACAACAATTATAAACACAAACTTATCACTTGCAAAGGCGAAAAACAATCTTTTACATAAGCTGTGTAAATAACCATATAAATAGGTTGACCTGCATCTTAATAATGATAATGCTGATTTGGAATTAAAATTCAGGTATTTTTATAATAAAGTTAATATTATAATATACGGTGTATGTGAGAATGTAAAAAAAAAAGATTTGTCTCGTAAAAGCGAAGAAATATAACGTGTAATTTGTTCGTCGGCGGAGCAAGACAGATATGGTGATCGTAAAGAATCGAACCGGTTGGAGAGCGCGTGCGGCCGCCGCCTCGCGACCTCACAAAAAGGTTTACACTTTAAATTTTTTTTTCTTAATCTCTTATCGTCAACAAAGACTCGATAAAACATATCCTAAATCACGTTGTTGTTATTGAAGTGGAAACATTAAATCAAAGTACATGGTGGATAATACTTAATTGTTATCTGATAGTAATTAATATTTCTATAACAGTTTTTTACGTTATCATCGTTAAGAATTTAAAAAATTATTTAGATAGAAGTACATACATTAACTTACATACCTATGATCTCTTAGATGATCTTGCCTCCGAAAAGCTTTACCACAGATATCACAGGAATACGGTCTTTCATCTGTATGCGTCCTTTCGTGAATTAGAAGATTATAGGATTTTGTGAACTGGCGATTGCAGTACTTGCAAATAAATTGTTTCTTGGGCCTTGTACCAGGGACTCCCGGGGCTCGCATGGGTGGCGGGTTCCTTCCTGGCATTCTTTGCGTCATTACTCCTGGGTACCTTAATGAATGTTGGTACAACGCAGCATTACGTATCCACTGGTTGACCAACATAGCGTGGTAAGGTGTCGAGGGTGGTAGCGTCGCTACTTGAGCTTGCACGTAGGCTGTCATTGCTGGGTGTGCGTAGTTCGGTACTGGTACTTTTTCGTAAGGATAGAGCGTTTGCATTGTTGGTCTTGGGTAAGTCGGGTAAGGTTGGGGCTGTGGAGGGGTCCACGCTGGTTGGTGCCGGGAAATAACAACAGCGGGAGGTGTATCGTCCGTGGGCGTATGTGGTGGTGTCGGCAAAGGTGGCGATGTCCGTTCAAGCTTCACTAATGCCTCAATTGGAAAATCTGGAGGATAGCCTGTGGAGAAAGGAAATTAATTTTTTATTGCACTGTGCATTGAGATAAAGTTAAAATATATATGTTGTATCAAAAGATTAACAATCTTATTTTCCATTAATTCTTTTAATGTCTATTTATTAATATAAGTACTTAATGAGCAACGTTAGAATTACTAAAATATATTTACCTATGCGAAGCATTGGAAAAAAATCTTGGATTAATATAATGAGATTATTACAATCAAATATAAATATATAAAAATAAAAAAGAGACAATTAACTCAAGTGATGTTATTTTATTTACTTAAATGAAAATATACTTCACAATTGTATTGATATGTATAGTAAAAATACTTCTAATCAAGACCGATGCTAATCCATGATCCAAAATACTATGACAAAAAAAAATAGTAAAAATATATCTTTTAATACTTACTGTGATTTTCCTCTATATGTTCGTCTTCCTCTTCTATATTTATGTCGTCAGAACTGTCCACACTGTATGGCTTATCTTCCATTTCCACTAAACAACAATCCATTCAAGCTTAACACTAGGGCACTGTACTCAGCACTTTGGTATCACTGGCAAACCGGTTTGTGTCAGGAACTGACAACCGGCTGGCGAGAGCGCGCGGAGCGTTATGAGTTTGTGTGCGTTCGTTATCTGGGTTTGCGCTTGCGTCGCGGTGGGGGGAGGAGATCAAACGAGCCGCACCGTGCGGCGCCTGTATCGGCTCCCGAAGCAGCAGCACACGCCTCTTAAGAGGCGGAGCTTACTGGGCACTGCCTTCGGAATCGATCGGCAATGATCGCAAATCGGTACAACCATGATAATGTTTACTTTGACACGATCCTATCGCAACTCTCCCCTAAAGACTGTTGGAACTTTTCCGCAGCGACTAACAATAAGGTTTGTGCCGTTTCGAAATTAGTTTTGCTGGGTAACTCGATGCAAATTTTTGATGACACAGCGTCCCCCAGTGAAGCTATTAGGTGAACGAATGGCTCTCGTAATTTCGTTTCGTAGGCAAGTCTTTGTGTATGTGTAGTATGGCTTTGCGCGGTGTCTTTGTAATTTGTTTGTGTTAGTATACATACGATTTATATGTATATTTATGCACAGCAATCTATTGTTATGCTTATTTAGCGACAGTGAAAGCTGAATCAGTAATCGCAGTCTAGATTAAATTGTTTAATCATTAGGTGTTTTACCGTCATTATATAACAAGACTTGACTTATGGAATTTATTATATTAAATACATCATTTAAGTAGGTGTATGTGAGTTACTTTTTGTTACTTTTGTTATTAAGTAATTTTGTAATTAATTAATTAAATATCATAATTTTCATGAAATTTCAAAGTTTATAATATTTATTAATTTTATATTTATATTTATATAATTTAGGTCGATAGATGATTATCCACTCCTGCGCTATCGGTAAACGCTGATGGGACACCAATGAGGGATGATAGATAAGCATGAAATCACGTCGGTTAGCCCATAGTGACCAATATAACAAGTATTAATCACGATAGTTTCCAGGGGGAACCACGTGGAGGTTGATCTGACAAATCTTGCTCCAAATTCCAAAATTTATAACACACCTTTTTTTAATAGATGATTATCTACTCCTGCGATATCGGTAAACGCTGATGGGACACCAATGAGGAATGATAGATAAGCATAAAATCACGTCGGTTAGCCCATAGTGACCAATACAACAAGTATTAATCACGATAGTTTCCAGGGGGAACCACGTGAAGGTTGATCTATAAAATCTTGCTACCAATAGGGCCATTAGTTACTTAAAAGTGTTTGTAAACATATTCATTTGAATAAAGTTAATTTGAATGTGAAATTGTACCAAAGTATAGAATAGTTAGTCATGTTAAAACCATAATTGGTCCATAAAAAGAGGACAAATATTTTCATCATAAAGGAGAATGTAGCCTATTTTATACTGGCTAGATGACTTGGTACAACGTTTTACGATCAGTTTTTCTAGTTTTTGCCTTAATTTTGAATTAATATATTATTTTGTTCACTTCATTCCTCGCAGCTTCTTAAAGAGGAAAAGAAACAATATACAAAATAAACGTTAAGGTCCAAACTATACAATATTCATTCGAAATACAATTAGTATATCGATACACTGTCTCTATCATGGATAAAAAGAATCTTAAATTAAAAATGTAGAAGTAGTTGAGACAAAGTTTAACACAGTCTATCGATGTTGTTTTGAACTACAAAACCTATTAACTACCACTAAAACTGTACTACTAAATCTAGAAACGTAAAATTTTTATTGGATTATTTGAAACGTTAACGATGCTAATAAATAGATTTTGAATTTTTAAGGTATCCAGATAATAGACTGTACTGGATAAGTCTGAAATCACAATACAAAATGATAAGCTCATAATGATCCTAAAAATTCTCTAGGAATTTCAACTCTACACTTAGAAATCTAGGAACACAAAATAATTGACCAAAAACCCAAGTCAAAAACTCTAGATCATACTTGTCAAGATGAGGTACCGTTCTTGGGATTGTAAAGTATCACTCCATACCATGTGTATATTTTGAGGTGGTGCATCTTTTATATTTATCATAATACACGAAACAGGGCCTTACTGACAAAAAGACCGGGCCATAGAATGCCCTAAATTTTGGCTGAACAAATTAAGGTTCCCATTGTCTCGACAAATGAAGAAAATACACAAAGAGTACAACGAGTCACAGATAAAAGTGTAAAGTAATCTATTATCTTAATTGCTGTAATTCAGTAGTTACAAATGGGTTTTTATAATTGATTTCAGCAAAAAAAAAATACTATACCAAGTAAGTAGTTGAGAAATATTTTTCTTGACACGTTTTATCTCCATAGTCATCTGATTATGAAACTTATATGGACTGTAATAATAAATAACGTCGAACGAAAAACTACTTAGATACAAGCGAAATACCTGCAAAAACGCCAAAAATATATTACGATTCTAAGGATTCAAAATAAAAAGGACTAAATAATATCACAAAGGTGTAACGAATATATAGAAGCTGCTAGTTTTTGTTTCGTGTATAAATTTCATTAACAGTAGGTAGATACGAGTACTAGAATATACTTTTTGACTAGCACGGTTCTAAATTTTAAGAAAAATATCCAGTTTCATGGATAAATCATTCTTTCAACTGTCCACTGCTGAACATAAGCCTCCGCTTTGGGATTATTTGCCAGTAATTGCCACGCTTGGCAGGCAGATTGGCAACCACAGCCAGACTCTGCCTTTAGAAATGTTTTAAGAGGGACCCTGCTGCCAATCCCTAGCCCTCCCTTAGCTCTTACAACACCTACGGGATAGAAAGGCGTGGCCTTTTATATCCCGGAACCACACAACCATGCCAGGACCACACGGCGAACTCAACAACTCCCTATAAGAGGAAATGAAATGAAATTTATTTGCTAGAAACATTGTAGAAAAGGTGTTGCATTTGTGAAGTTTATAAGATGTCCATTATGTTTCGCCACATCAAATGACATGCAAATATTAATTATTGGATTTATCCATTGGCTATTTTATACATGTGCATTATATATTTAATTTTCAATTACATATACAATAAATCACTATTAGTACGAAGTGCCACTTTACGTACGAAGTACGAGGATGATTTTACCTCCATTTTAGCCGTTAACTCTCCACTGTTGAACATAAGTCTTTCTCATAAAAAGAGTTTTGACAGTAGTTGCCATACTTGGCAGACGGGTAGGGCAGGCTTTTAGAGATGTTTTACGCTGTTGCCCATCTTCTACCCTTAAGTTTCTTTAATCGGTTTTTACGACTACCACCACATCAGCTACTTAGCCGGGGGAGAAGGAATTGTTAATAATGGGTTCACCCTAGTTAGCTCTTGTAGAATTAGAGATGGGCTAACTAACCTGACTTCATCCACCTATAAATCAAAGTCAGGTGGGGTTAGTATTGCATTTTCATTCCATTAAAAGGCGATCTGCTTTGTGTGAGGTTTTTCTTTTTTTTTTTTTTCTTATACTGGCATACTATACTTTGTTCCCTTACCTTCTTATTTATAAAAATGTCAAACCGCTCATAAACTCATTTTAGTTATTGAATTGTTTACTCTTTCTTTGATGCTAAATTCATTAAAATTTGAAAGAAAGCGCCAAAACAGTGTAGTATTCAAGTTAAAATAGCTTTGCAGAAGATGTAATTGTTTTATGAATAAGGGAAGTTAGTCCTTTCATACGATGTTCTAGAGATGAAAAGAATGAAAAATATCCTTACTAATTCACCATACAAATATGAGGAATAAGTTGTTATTATTAGAAAATTACTATAATTATACATTTATAATATTGTTATAATACATGCCTGACCAGTATTGCTGTTTAAGGCATTTTTAAAAGTTTATTTATATTTGTTTTCTCCGTACAATCAAAGAGTGGGTTAGAATTTTATAGAAACAGGTAGGTAGGTTCAAAGATGTTTTCTCTCACAAACGCTCTGGTTATAGAATGAGCTCCCTATCGAGGTTTTTCCAAGAAACTACAGATTTTTTCTACTGAAGTTCTTCAAAAGGTGGTAAAGAGGTTTCTTCAGAGTCGGCAACACGCGCGTAATACCGCTGGTATTGCAGGCGTTTATAGGATACAGTAGTCATTTACCATCAGGTTGGCCGTCAGCTTGTTTGTTATTCTAAGTTACGTAAAAAAAACTTTGCACCGTCAATTATATTTTTTGTCTACGGTCGACTGGTAGATAATGCCATGTGGTGTTAAAGGTATGCTTGTTTGCCACCTCTGTGGTATAAAAAAAAGGTAGATGGATTTACTACAATAAAAAATATACTAAAATATTAGTGTATTTTTAAAATATAATGTTGCTAACACAAGTTAATTATTTTGTTTAATAAAATAAATTTTCTATTTCGTTCTATTCCTATAATTACTATTTATAATAAATATAAAATTATAACATGCATAGGTCACCTACTATTCGCCGTGTGGTCCCGGCATAAAATAGGCTCCCTCTTTCTTTCCGGTAGGTGTCGTAAGAGGCGACTAAGGGAACTTATTGGTCGAGGGATAAACATTAGTGTTCCTCTTTATACATCACCAAAGCCTAACTGCGGTGGGGGGAAAGGGATTGTTAGTAATGGAGACTGAAAATCCCATTGCTAACAATATACCCAACCAGGTCGACCTACTCGCGGTTTCCCCTGGAAACTATCATGACTAGAATTCCAGATGGATTCATCATGAAGGGCAAACTAGCCTGTAGGTATTCATCCTCATCGATCATCCTTCACTGGTGCCCCGCCAGCGTATCCCATTAGCGCAGGCGGGGCACCATTATCATTCCATTTTCATCCTATAAAACACAAAAAGCCTCTTTGCGGTTGCCAATCTGCCTGCCAAGCGTGGCAACTATTGTCAACACCCCCAATAGGGGGCAGTCTATGTTCAACAGTGGACAAATAATGGCTGATATGATGATGATAATGATGATGACAGGTTATTATAAAATACTAAACATTTTTAATTTATTCAAATGTTTTAAACAATATTTATAAATACCGAACAGCTTTTAGTAGTATGTACACATATTTTTTTTTAATTGATGACAATGG